CTCGGCGAGCAAGTCAACAACCTCATTGACAATCATCACTGTCACAGTTACATACGAGAATAGCTTCAAGGATACTATTTCAGAAGACCAGTCACTTTGAGAATCTCTCCTATAGCTCAGAACTTCAAACCCAAGCCTATCACAGAAAGCAACATTTTGCCATCAAACATGTAATACATATCATCAGTTCAGTCCTTGTTGCAAAGTGCTCTTAACTCAAACTTCGCCAATAGACAGCAACCTAGTGCATCTTCCCATAGATGCCTGTGTTCTGTTATTATTGCATCTGTATGGTTAGTTCTTGAATAATTGCAAAGGTGCACTTCAATTTCCTTAGCTCATTAGTATCCATGTTTGGATGCTATGAATGCCCTTAGAGCTCCAAAATGGCAGCGTAGTGCATGTACAATCTTGTGAATGAAATTATGTCGGGCACAGCTGCAGGGACATTTGCATGCAGTGGACATCCATCAGAAATATGCAAAACATCATGACATCAATCAGCACGCAATAATAATCTTACCCTAGTAAGGCCATGCTGTAATTCAATGTTCCAGCGATGTCCCCCCTCAATCTTGTACAGCTGAGCTACATTCAGCAACAATAAGAAACCCAACCCCACCAGCATTCTTTACATAGTTCACCACCATGGTTCAATAATTTCTTCTGATCATTGCTACAATTCTATAAATGTTTGATCCTTTCTACAGTTGGATGCACAAATCTACATTGTGGTATGTGCTGAAGGACGCAAAGTTGACGCTAGTCATGGCTGCAATAGCAGGGATTCCCCTCAACACAGCATGGCATAAAGAATGAACAGAGATCACACAGAGTAGGACAAACTGCTGGAAAAGGGAGAGACTCTGAACAGTGAGAAATATCCACCCAGTATAGAACAGTAATTCTACCTGAATGTACGTGAAGAGCAATGTATGGGACTTTGCTGATTCAGTAAGAATATTCCTGCTGTGGTCACAAATACAATTTCATTGCAGTGCAAGAATGGTAATAACTTTGTGAAGTAACCATGGCTTTTAATGAACTTATATGCACCGAGCTCCTTTCAGCTTGATACTGGAAGTGTTTGTGACATCGTAATTTGCCATCACTTGTTGCATTCTGGAAGTCCCTAACACAGTCTATTCAAAGGGGCTAACCATAGTTCATTGTCATTTGTGAAATCGAGTAAGCAGAGAAAGTGTGTGGTCTTATTAATATTCCCAAAGCACAGGTGCTATTGACCACAGGTACATCACTGTGCAACTACCATGTGTCAACTGTGCTCTCAAATGGAACAGAAAGGGATCTCGCTCTGTCAAAGTCCAGCAGATATGTGACCAAAGACAACAGTGGTGATATCTTTATTCTATAGCAGCCTGTTGTGCCAACTACATTTGAGTTGCCAGGACAAACCAAAAGGGTGACCTTGAAGGATTATCCACTATGACATGACCGGTGGGTCTGGCACAAAATTCACAAAAGCACACAGCATGCATTAAATGAAAGTCCTGCTGCCACTACGTATAGCAGAGCAGCAAGTGGCATGCTGAAGCACAGCTGCTACCAGCATAACTCAAGTGAATCCCAGTGGTACTCAGCAGAGTACGTGCTGTATTTCATAGTGGTCTGTAGCACACGTTTTTGATCATGAAGGAGCAGCCTTTCCCCCAAGCTATGTGGGGAGTAACTGTGGAGCAGTAGCGTAAGTCAGAGCTTGAGAATGAAATTGAAATCCCCATTCAGTCTTTATTTGGCCATGAAATATGAGCACTGTTAGCAAAGTTGGCAATTATCGTTTGTCCCCAGTTACCCTTGAAGAGCTGATAGCTACTAACTTTTTGAGCTGTTGCAGTCCTTGTGTTGTGGCTTCTAGCAGCTGGCTGACTATCACAGCCTTCAGCAATTAGAAACCAGCAAAAAGTGCTGGCCAGTGATGCCCACGTACCATGGTAGAATAATGGTGTCTCCTGACACCAACGGTATAATAAATTCTGGCAAAACAAACTCCTTTTACATGATACAACATGTACACAAGTGCAACATAAAACTAATTTAAAAAAAAACATATTCACTTTGCTTGAAAGTTTATTTTCTCTCCAGGTAATATTCTTTCTTATTTAAAATTATTTTTGATTTTCTTTGGGTTTTAATACTCTTTATTTAAAATAAATGCTGAGATTTTGGTGCTACTGTGTTTCAGATTGTCAGCAGATGCAGCCATCCTATAAAGAAATGTGGTTGAGTCTCACTTCAATGTTTGGTGTTTGACTGAGAGATGAGACCTGTAAATATTAAGAACATAGAACAGTACAGCACAGTACAGGCCCTTTGGCCCACGATGTTGTGCCGACCTATTACCCTACTAAGATCAATCTACCCTGCATACCCTACATTTTACTATCATCCATATGTCTATCCAAGAGTCGTTAAAAATTCTCTTAAAATATCTCACTCTACTATCACTACTGACAGCACATTCCACACGCCCACCACTCTGTGTGAAGAACCTACCTCTGACATCTCCCCTATACCTTCCTCCAATCACCTTAAAATTATGTCCCCTCATAGTAGTCGTTTCTGCCCTGGGGAAAAGTCTCTGACTATCCACTCTATCTATGCCTCTCATCATCTTGTACACCTCTATCAAGTCACCTCTCATCCTTCTTCGCTCCAATGAGAAAAACCCTACCTCCCTCAACCTTTCCTCATAAGACCTGCTCTCCAGTCCAGGCAGCATCCTGATAAATCTCCTTTGCACCCTGTCTAAAGCTTCCACATCTTTCCTGTAATGAGGTGATCAGAACTGAACACAATATTCCAAGTGTGGTCTAAGCAGAGTTTTATAGAGCTGCAGCATAATCTCACGGCTCTTAAACTCAATTCCACTGCCAATGAAAGCCAACACACCATACTCCTTCTTTAGAACCCTATCAACTTGGGTTGCAACTTTGAGCGATCTATGGATGTGGACCCCAAGATCCATCTGTTCCTCCACACTAGTCACAAGAGTCAAAGGCAGTGAGAATCCTACCATCAACTCTGTATTCTGCATTCAAATTCGACCTTCCAAAATGAATCACTTCACACTATTAGATAAGAATTGTAAATGGAGCAATGACTGACACAACGCAATAGGATATGGAATTTGAAGATGCAATCACTAACCTTAATAACTCATGAAATCTTTGAATTTCTACTATCACTTATCTAGATCCTCATGGCTTGACTCTTTTGACATTGATCTCTGCAACTATCTGATCTCACTGCATTTGGCTTTTGTGACTAGAGGGCTGCCTTTCTCATCTGGTACAAGGCGCTCCTTCCCCACTCCATGTTCTTCACCAAGGCCTCCAGTATAACACTCAAACAACTTGGGGCCTGCCTTCTCCTTTGCTGTACCATCCCTCACTCTTTCCTAAGTCATGAATCTGAGCATCTGCTCCAACCACAACACACCTTCTCTTTAAATGGTACAAGCTAATTTGAAATTTCATGGTGATAGCTAAGTATGATGTAGACTTCCTGCTGATGTGTCCAGACAATGAATACTGCAGATTGCATTAGATGAGTACCAAAATCATTCAAATGAGCAGACTGCACAAAGTTACTGTGTAATCTTATTGCAATCAGTGATGGAGATATTATGCATTGTGGTCCCAGTGTCAAATTTTGTGGCTGTATTCAATTTAGCCATATGTTGGGTAGGAAGGAGATCATTGGCACAGTGGGTAGTGCCCATGTTTCTGAACCAGAAGGTCTGGATTTGATTCCCATTTAAGTACTTGAAATTTCTGCTCATAACATCTCCATCAGATAGTCAATCTGTAAAGCCTTCCAATCTGCTTAGGCAGGTGGTGAAAATAGGAGAGTCTCCAGGCCAGCCATGCTAGTTGTGTTTCAAACTATAACCTCTAATAACAGGCTTGCAATCATCTGCTCTAGGAGAAACTAGCTATCAAAACAGACAAAAGCATATGCTCTGTTTGACTCGTGTCACTAGACATGGGAATGTGTTGAGAACCTAATCTAATATTTGCACTTAGAAAATGAGTTATGATAAAAATTAGAATAATCAGTCTTGCAATACAAAGTACAAGGTAAGTGGAATGCTGCGTGTGTGTGTGTTAAAAGTTGGACCACAAATATACATAATTATAACAATTAAAAATTTAGTCTCCCGTATTGTTTTTGTTTTCTCCTTAATCAAATGAATCATATATCTCTGGATGATGTAACATCAGTTGTTTCCTGAATAGGACATTAAACACTTAGCATTTTCAAATCTATGATTTTTTGTTTTTTTGAGATTCATATTTTTATATTTTTAAACTTTTGTCCCATCTTTCTGGCAAATATTTTTTTCCAGTTGGACAGGTGACTGGAAAATCGCTCAATCAATTTTTATGTAAACTCTTCATACATAAACCTACTTAGTCCTTCAATGGAACAGTGCACTTGGTAACCACGTCTCCCTGAAATTAATACACACACCTCTCAAATTTATTTGTCCTTCCCCCAATGTAGCAAAAAACGCTGCTTCACCAGCCCAGCAGTCATCAGGTGACTTATCCCAGTCACTAATTTTCCTACAAAAACCCAGATAATAATTATTATCAACAAATTTAACTACAGAAGCTATTAGACCACAAACCACAAGCACTTAATTTGCAGGAATGTTTGCTCAATGGAATCTAAAGCAGAAAACAAAACCTGACTTGATTTTATTATTTTTATTTTCTCTTCATTCCTGTGAAAACTAAGCCACTGATCTACGCAGCCCAGTATTTTTTTTCTCAAGTAGCAAAACTCTATGCAGTTTACTGCCACAGGTATCCCAGAGGATTTTTTAAAAAAACACTAATGCTTGGAAATGATCACACAGATCTCTATTTTGAAGTATCAGAGTTGGAACAGTGTGTGTCATTCATAAGTTTTACTATTTTTTTTCCTTTCTAGAATTTTGCTACATTCTAACAAAGTGGAAATTTTTGTTTTAGAAATGGCAGTGTGTAGAAGATTCCACTGGAAAGCTTCGGCTTCATAAGTGCAAAGGAATGGCTATCACAGCAGTCTCTGAGAAAAGGAGGTCTAACCGCTTCCAGTCCAAGTACTACAACACTGACGGAGGAGACTGCGATTGTGAAGAAAATGGATCCAAAATTAATGCAGCAGCTCGACAGAAACAGACCCTTTTGTCCAAGCGAAGTAAGTACGGTAGTTGGTTTGCTTACACTGCGTAAAATCGAGACAGGGTGACAGCATTTCCACTTCTAGGCCTTACCATTTTAAGTTTCACATTACAGCCACTTGGAAGTTGGGAAAGCTTTTCTTACAGCAAAATCATCTCACTTTGAAGTGTATACCTTTATTAAAAAGTGGAAATATATGTCCTGGATGCCACCACATGCAAGATCAATTTTTTAGGAGTGGAAGTGATTGCACTGGACAGGGTGCAGAGGAGATTTACCAGGATGTTCCTTGGATCGGAACATTTTCGTAATAAAGAATTGATAGGCACGAATTACTTTCTTTAGAGCAGAGAAGGCTGAGGAGGGCCTGACTGAGGTGTATATAATGATGAGGGATGAGGACAGGGTGGATAGGAAGTAACTGCACCCCGATGTTGCAGGGTCAGTAATGAGGGGCATAATTTTAAGGTGAAGAACAAGTATTTTAGAGGAGATTACAGGAAACAATATTTCACCCAGAGGATGGTGGAAATTTGAAATGCATAGCCTGGGCGTGCAGTGGAGGCAGGAAAAATCTTCACCTTTTGAAAAGTACCTGGAAAAGCATTTGAAATGTCATAACTTTCAAGTGTACAGGCCAAATGCTGGAAAGTGGGATTAATGTAGATAATGTAGACTGTTGGACCGACGGGCCTTTTCTGAGCAATATGATTCTCTGACTTAGTGTGTCACAAAGACTCCAATGGTATTATGAACAAAATGACTTATTTCTAAAGCCATTCCCGTGCCCATCCACCCCTGTGACCCCAACAAGTTTTGAGTCCTGCCAGATGGTATTTGACCTGAATGAGGGTTGAGCATTTAGCTGTGGCCCAAGAGTTTAAATCTATCAGGCTAGTGCTCTGGGAATGGAGGTGGGAGAAGAAACTGGAGCAGTTGGATTACAGTGTTTCTGAACCCCTGATTTTTATTTCCCACCTCAAACGTTGAAGCTAGCTTGCAACTTCGAATGTATAATTATCCTTTTTAAATAGAACATTGTTCATTTTATTTCGTATTGAAGGATGTAAACCCCTTGTTCTGCATAATTAGCAGTTCTGGAAACATGAGATGTTCAACAGAGTAAATATAATTGCTTCCCTGTATTGCTGTCTTCTAGTGACGTCTAGTGGTTATCTTTGGCAATAGTAATGGTAGCTGAAGTTATATATCTCATCAGGAAAAAGAACCTAGAAATGTATTTAACCCTTAAATGCACAACAAAACGGAAGTATTCTCTCAAAATAATATAAACAGAATCATCTGTCTCCACTCTCTTCAATTCGCTTCTTGCATTCAATCATTTTGTTTTATTTATTTTCTATTTTCAATAAATGCTCTGCCCCCACAACCTCGTGTATAGACATTGTAATCAACATTTTTTCAAACTCCTTTGGTCACTTCTCCATTTTTAAAAAAATATCTAACCTACTTTTGTCCTTTTAACCTTACTATGACATTTTATTTCTTATTCTTTTTTCATAATGGGTCAGTTCTCTATTTTGCAAAGCATAGCATTTTGAAGATGGATCTGCATAAAGCACAAGTAGGAATTTTTTGAGCCCAAAATAAAATTGGTTTAGTTTATTTGATGAACGATGCTAGTGGAACACTTGTAAAAAGCAGCATATTAGGTGCAATGTCTATCTGAGCATTCCATATTTGATTCCTTGTTTCAATCCCTGTAGTTGGTTACCATCCAGAATTTTAACTCTCTAAGAAAAATTGGCAGGGGCAGAGATGGGTGGGGGAGAAGATTGGAAGGGGGAAGGCGAAGTTCTTCATATTTTAGAATTCATGAAGACAGGAATGTAATAAGATGCCCCATAATGCTTAATATCCCACTTAATTTACTCTTTTAGATCCCCTTTTCCAGACAGAGCAAGATGGAGTGTAACACCATAGTTGAATAGCCCAGAAATAGAATGGCTAATGTCATCCCCTATTACCACCGTGTTTAATAGACATGCTCATATTTGAGTACATAAATTCAACATAATTTATGGCAAAAAGCATCAGAAATGGCACTGACCAGTGGTATGGTTTTTCACTGTAGACAACTCCAAATTAGCCCAATGCTGAGCAGAAGGACAGCAGAAAACCCTGCCTTGTCTTTTAAAGTGCTGCTAGTTGATTTCTCATGACGTTGTTAGTAATGAGTCAAAGGGTAACATAACAGTGGGTGTCATATCTGCACATGACCAGGCAAGTGTTATTTTGAAGTGCATGCTAAGAGAGTGACTGTAGGCAGTGAATATATGCCCCACTGTTAGTGGTCTCTCAAAATGCAGCACTATTTCTTTGTAGGGTGGGGGTCTGTGTGTATTTTGAATCCAGCCCCTGGGAAGTAAAATTAGCAGAAAACTGACACAAACTGAAAAAACTCCTAGTGTGGGGGTGAGGGGTGTTGTTCCTGGGCAGTCAAAGTGGTTAATAGTGGGACTTCTGTCCCTTAGTTGGTGGAAATCTCATCTGGAGAAACTCCTGGCTAATTGGAGTGACCAGGAGTTCCAACAGTCCTGATGGTGCCAGAGCTCAGCTGTGGTGCTGCTGGGACTGCAAGGAGGATTACATGGAAAATGGTTGGCTGTTCTAGAAGTGTTAACCCTAGGGGTTTCAGGTGGTGAGGAGTTGTAGAACTCTGCGGGGTTGTGGGGAGGTGGATGAAAAGCAGAGGTAGTGGGGGTGTAAAGAGTAGGGGTGGGGAATCAAGTTTTGAAAAGCAGGTAGCTCACATCTTGGTGTGGCGTCCCTGGTGCGGGTCAGACATCCACAATTGAAATTCCTTACCCTAGCCCCTATCCCTGAGCATATAATGGGGATTAGTGGATGGGGAGCTAGTCTACTTGACATTTAACGTATATCTTCCCTCCCCCACTGCCCCCCGTCCCCCCGACCTCCCTTTCAGAGAATATGCCTGGCAGATGCATGTGAAATCTAGCCCTACATCAAGTCCTCTTACATTTCAGACTGTAATCGCGTTTGACAGGAATTGCGGTTTGTGACTTCAGTTTTTGAAAATCTGGTGTCTGCTCATTACAGATTTCAAACTGCATTTCTTAACAGGACAATTAGTTCTATTTTAAGTATTTTTATATTTATTTTCAGAATTTAAGCAAAGCTACATACGGAATAGGTCAATCCGTTCAGTATCCATTGAACTCGAAGGAGAAGTCTATGATCTGGATCTGGATGAAGGATTTGATCCAGTTGTGCAAAAGAATGTCACTAAACGACATGATGTAGCTGATGAGGAAGAAGAGAATATGGGTGAAAGTAGTGGCACTGACAATAGCAATGAATTAATTGTGCCCAGTTCGATTAAAGTCACACACAAGTAAGTTGCATCATTTTTTTTATCGCCTGTTTGTTTAATTGAGGTATATTCCCCAAATGTATTTATATACCATTCAACAGCAGGAAAGCCAAGAAAAGTGATCTGTGTACCCATTTATGGTCATATATTCAGTGATATAACTTGGCTGCACTGGCCTCGTTCCATTCTTAACTATCTAATCATACTAAAGAATCTCTTACAATAGCTTCTGTTCCTATTCGGGGTGGGGATGGGAGTGCTGAGTGGGTGGTAGGCGCCGTTATCTCTGGTGGTGTGAGGATATATCACTTCTCCTTTAGAAGGTGTCTCTTATCAGATTAATTATTTGACATCCAGTACTGGGTGAACAGAATGTTTCTCCAATGAATATTGGAAAGGCCAAAGCCAGTGTTTTTAGCCCTACTACAAACTCCATTTCCTAGCTACCAGCTCCATCCCTCATCCTGGCAACTCTCTGTGGATGAACCTGAATGTTTGTAATCTTGGTGCTATATTTGCCACACGGTGATATTCTGACTGCAAATTCATGCAAAGTCACTATGACTAGCTATTTTTGCCTCTATAACATTGCCTGTGTCACAGCTCACCTGCTGCTGAAACTCTCAGCCATGCCCTTGTTATCCTCAGACTTGACCTTGTACTCGTTGGCCTATGCTGACTCCTGGTTGCAAGGTATCATAACCTTCAAGTCTTATCCTTGAATTCAGCTCTCTCCATTGTTTTTAACTTCCTTTTGTCTATAATCTCCTCTATTTGTGTGACCTTCCAAGATTCCTCTAATTCTGGCCTCTTGGGCATCCCCCAATTTCATTACTACCCCATTGGTACCTATACCTTAAGGTGCCAAGACCCGAGGCTCTAATACTCCCTCCTTTTAATAGCTCTACTACTACTACTCCAATCTTTTCTCATCTAAGATGCTCTTTAAAACCTATTACTTTAAACAAGCTTTTGGCTACCTGCTTTTATATCACCTTAAGTGGCATGGTTTCTGTGAATGTTCCTGTGAAGCATATACACACATATATATACACAAGTTGTTATGATGCTGTTCAATTGACTATCACGATATTTTTAAATGTTGCAACATTGAATAGTGTATATGTGGTGATAGCAGGGAACTGCACAAACAATTGTTTTGTTCTTATCATAGGTGCTACATATTGGCCAATGAGACTGTTCAATGTGACAAAGATTTGTACAAATCACTTCAAGCGTGGAAGGATCATAAGTTACACATTGATCATGAGGTTAGTTAGAGAAATCATTAGTAGTATACTTCACATGGAAATTTATCAGACCAATGAAAATGTAAATGATGTCAGTGGTTCAAATTAACTGATTATTAATGTTAAATTATTCTTTCTTTGCATACATTCTCATTCAGAATGATTTTATGTAAAAAGGATTATTCATAATTCGTTTATAAATTTTCAAAACAGTGACACTGCTAGTTCTGTTTTTATGATAAATTCTTGATTTGCAGTTAATAATTTCTATATTGAACCATTAGATTTATGTTATCTAGCATTACTATCAAATAATGTCAATTGCTTTAACAACTTTATAAATTAACACAGCAAATAATTTCAGAGAAAAAATTCCACACTTCAAAATATGTGATACAGACAGTTTTATCAGAAAGCTAGAGGAAACAAGTACAAAGAGAGCAAGCCTCAAGCAAGACTTAAGATATACGGTGTCTTTTTTCCCTACAGAGCAGTAGATACATGGAATAAGCTCCCAACAGTTAATGCTATGTCAATTACACATTTGAAAAGGAGCTAGATGAATACTTGTTGAAGAGCTGGATCAAAGGTCATAAATGATGATAAGAATGATAAAGTACTGTCTAGTACCATATTAACTTAATCTTACTGGGGCATGTGGAATGGTGCTTCTGAATTGCAGTCAGTGAGTGCTGAGTGATGTAGATTGCAATTGTAAAATGACGTCTTGGGGTTTTTGTTTGATTACCTTTGGGCTTAGGGGAAGAATTTTCATGAGTACTTCTTTGTTAATGCAACCTCTAGCTATTCCTGGTCTCAATTAAATAACATGCATAGGTTACACATTCAGATAAACTCAGCATGGTCAGTCAGAAATTGTGGGTTTGATAAGTTGAATGACTTGTGTTGTTTCAAGTTTTCTACGTTTTATCCGAGGAGTGGCACATTGTTTTAAATGCAATAAAAAGAAGTTTGCTTTGTACAATCTGCTCCACGTGAAGGCTTATTTTCAGTTGTTGAATGCTATAAGCAGGTAATCCTCCCTTTACCTCTGTCCTGTAGATTGAAACACTTCAAACTAAAATAAAGAATTTACGAGAGGTCAGGGGTCACTTGAAGAAAAAAAGACCTGAAGAATGTGACTGTTCAAGGATGAGGTTCGTTTTGGAATTGCAGCTTCCTTCATCGTGTCATTAGGATAGTCTTCTTTCCATATATTAACTTCCGTATGGATTTCCCAAATATATTCTTCAACATGAGACGTTTTGAGTGATAGATTATTGTTTGCCATTAAAAATGATAACATGTGATTTTCAATAAATAAGTTTCTCTCACTCCTTCCTGCTGCCACTACCCCCCTTCTTTGTAGTGGTATATTTTCTTTTTTTTTGTTTGGTTGTACCTAACATGCCCTATGCTGAGAAAAGAAAGGGTGAGTTGAACTAAAATGACACCCAAAGCTCTAACAAACGACAATACAATACGAAGAATCGACGTGTTGGGTTATGTCTTGCGCTTCTGTGATCAGTTCACCTTATGAAATTGTGTGTGACCACCAAATGAAGCAGAATTATATTTCAGGCCTAATTTTGTTAAATAGAGCCCAATTTCTGCTGCCTACAGGGGCCTACACACAGTGTCTGCCAGAAGTGCAGTGAAGGATGTAGAAAATTGCTGGATGTAGAGCTGGATGAACACAGCAGGCCAAGCAGCATCAGAGGAGCAG